CGCTCTTTTTCATATTTTGCCCCACTTGATTGGAATAGGCTTCCAAAAAACTATTAGAGGAGCAGAAAATTTAGAAATTTTAAAGAAGAAACTAAAAGCATTTCTATTTGCATCATATTTCGCTTAGACAGAATCAATCCAAGCTGCAGATCGTCATGAGTTTGTATGTGCGTATGTACGTATGTGTGTATGTATGTGTGTGTGTGTGTGTGTGTGTGTGTGTGTGTGTGTGTATTTGTGTGTGAGGGCATGCGTGCGTGAATATGTGTATGCACGCGTATGTAATACCATGTTCCTTTAAAATTGATTTGTAAATCCATACATGTAATATGTTTCATGTTAAGCGCATAGAGCATTGCATAAGTGGATATGCGTTGTATAAAATGCTGTCCATTATTATTATTATAATTACTATTATTATACAGAGCAAGCACTTTTTAACTCATTGAAAGCGCATCCTTGAATCCTTGTAATTCGGCATCGCTTGAAGACGCGCTGGTTTATGGCACTTTACGAGTAAAAAGAAGCATATTAACCTTGTTCCTCCTACAGATATCACTCTCCTGTTTTCTTTTTTCAATTTGTTTAGCTTTAGTAAGAGTTTTACGGCGCTCGCAACTACGTAAGGTTATATGAGCGCCCGAAGCAAGTTGGTTTTATTTGCAACAGTTCAGCCTGATTTTGGTCAATATTTCTATTTAAAATGTTAAAATGCTTTGATGAAAATAAATTCTTTACTTTAAATAACTTTTAAAATAACATTAAAATGTTAACATTTTCCACAACTTTCCGTAAAGGCCAATGGTCTTGATAAAATTAAGGATTCTGTCGGGATCAACAACGGAAAACATCTTGCAATTTTTTGCACCAAAAATATTTCCTTCGGGTCTTCGAATTTGTAGTAGTTGAGGTCAAAAGTGGGGTTCAAAATCTGGAAACATTCAATAGCAAACCCGTCCCAGTGTGCTTTTCAAAAATTGAAGCGTTCTGGGATCCGGTAGTTTTGGAGGCTATTGCTTTTTAAAAGAATTGGGAAATTGTCCGTACAGTCATCCAGCACAGACCACTCGAGATCTGGGACTAGGTCAGGGGTACAAAAGGTAAGGTCGAGGGATGAAGTGCCAAAAGTGGATCAGTTTCTGTAAGTGGGGCATCTATAATTTAAGATGCAGATGTTATTATGAAATAAAAAAAATCTTTTATTATTTTTCCTTTCTGGTCTGTGGGTTTGTCTCCCCAAAGGGGGCTGTGGGCATCAAAGTCACTTGGCAAAAAGCTGGAGCTTTGAAACATTTAGTTGAGTTATTTTGAAGGAGTAATTTGCTGGGATATAGACAGAGCAGATGGTGATTGATCTGAGCAGGGTGACCCATACGGTAATAGCCTAGAAGGTCGCCCTAAGATGTACTTGTCTGTAGAGTGCGTTGTTTTCTGTGTAGATGGTGATTCCGCCGGAAGCAATCTACTTCTCCGTGTGAATATGATGATACGTTGTAAATCCTCTTAAGTCTATGGTTGAAGACGGGGCGAACTTCGTCTCCTGGATACAGGCCACAAGTAGGCACAATGTGGCCTGTAAGTATTGCAATTCTGCCATGGAAGGTCGGGGTCCGCCGGCATTCTATTTCAGGACTGCCATTATGAAGGCTATTAAAAAAAAAATTGGAGCACGTAGGCCCCGGCTTCAAAGAAACACTCTGACTCCTCCTTGCGGGGGGAGGGGGGGCAGAGTGTTTTCTAGACTGCCGTCCTGGATTGGGCGGCTGCCAAGTAGGGGATTTGGGGAAGGAGGGACGGCTCCGCCTTCCCGGGGACAGACCATGCGAGATCGGAGCTATCATAGTCCATTGGTAGGGGGTGTATGCTGGAGGGGTAGGGGGAGGTGGAGCAGACGAAGGGGGCTGGGAATGGGGGGGGGGGGGGAGGGGGTTGGGAAGAGGGGGAAGGGGACACCAGGCCGACTTCATGACGGGTCGGGCTACCTTCGCCTATGACCAGCGAGGGACCGAGGTAGCGACTGGCGGGCAGACAGCTTTGCGGGCTTCTTGAAAAGAGCAGCCATTTCGCGCTTTGTACTCTTGGATTGCGCGTTCTTAGATCCAAGTCGGGCAATCTTTGCTGAAGGCTGTATACTGACCTTGGCAATTTGCGCAGCAAGGACTAGTCTTGCATTCCTTCTCAGTCTTGCCACAGAGAGGACTCACGGCTGCCCGTTGGCATCGCGATAGGCTATGGCCAAACTTCTGACACTAAAAGCAGCGCATAGGGTTTGGCACATAGGTCGCACTCCCAGGACCAAGTATGACGCCGAAACGGTGGCTGGACGGCGGCACGAATCGAAAGTTAAAATAATCGTATTCGTTTCTAGTATGATCTTCCTCCTGCCGAAGAGTAATCCGGCGGGCTTCCACCACACCCTTGCAATTAGCCACACTTTCTTCATTGGAGCAGCCCTTCAGCTCATGGCTGTGGACCACGCCCTTCGACTGGTTGTATATTTGGTGTCGCTCGGATACTCAAGGAACACCACCGAAGGTAGTGATCTTTTCAAGTCCAGTCAGTTCTGTTTCCAATGCGCATTTGACGAGGAGTGCACAAGAGGACAGTTTATGGACATTCGTAAAAATGTATCACAGAACTTGTCTTAGTGGATCTCCAGTCTTAAATGCTGAGGTTGAGATCTGTTTCTTTTTCTATGCATCGGTGCCGCGGATGATCAAGTACAGCTGCCGCAGAAGCTCCCTGGGAAGAGGGAGGGTAGAGACAGCCGTAAAGGTCCTTTTTACAGAAGAGGTAGCAGAGGTAGATGATTTTGCTCGGCCCTGCGCCGCACCCGCTTCCGCGAGCCGAGACTTTTTACAAACGTTGGGAGCTGGGGAAGGGTCTTTGGGGTTTTCAGATTCCATATGAGATATACAAATGGTTCAGCTCCGGGCTCCCCACCCGCCACCGAGCCCAACAAGGGGGCACCTTGCTAAGATAGCCGGAGCTGTGCCAGAGCTACCCTGGAGCTATACTCATCACGAGAGTGAACAAAACCGTCCCGTCAAGATTGACCCAGGGCCTGAAGGGGTTTCAGCTCCCAACCGATTGAGTGACATGGGCGTGCCACTCTCCCGTCTAAGAGGAAAACCTGGGCCAAAGAGGTGTGTTGGTAACGAACAATCCGCAGACTGATCTCACCTCAACCTTCAGGTACCTGGTTTCCCTCCACACGGGTCGCACATCACGGTCAACGAGGCGCCCACTCTGTGGGGTGGATGACCTCTAGTTTTTGCTCCACATGAGGTCAGCGGTGGAAGAAAAGATAGAAAAAGTAATAAAGAAGGAAGGAGAAGAGGAAGATGTACCGAAGTAGGCCTCGTACACGGATCCCAGAGGGTTGAGGTCCGTGTGCGACACTTCGTCATTTCCTACAGACGGGGTAGTGGGTCTATTTATATACCCCCTACCCACGGGCGGCCCGTTGACTTCATCTGGACCTAGAATGCAACAACGAACAAACGTTGACATGAGCCAATTTGTGTTTCTGATTGGTCAACGGTGGTTTGAAATGTGCCTACAGTATTGTCTTCGACCTACAGCAAATCGGACATACGTGTCAGCTACGTTCTAAATTAAAAAATAAATGGAATCGAAACAGGCAGATCGAAACTTTCCCATTCGACAAAAATCGCCTATCACAATATTGAGGCTGAAACCCTTAAAATAATGTCCAAGAGAGCCAAAGTGTCCAGTTGGCGGGCGGGCCGGCGACATCAGCCATAACCATGGGACCTGGCAATATATTGCTACGGGGAGCGCGGTGTGGGAAGCAGCGTGTTATTAATTAATCAAAGGGTCATTACTCTCGTGAAAGCAATTTCTCAAAGCTTGTGGAAAGATGAAAGAGGCGCGGGGCGGGAGACGGTGATTGGGGGTGAGGCGAGAGGAGAGGCTGTGAGTGTGGGGTGGGAGGGGGGGTAGGAGATAGAGAAAAGTAAATAAGATGTGTGAGGCCGAGCTGCTCTGATATAAGGAGGGCAATTGGATAGATAGATAGATAGATAGATAGATAGATAGATAGATAGATAGATAGATAGATAGATAGATAGATAGATAGAGTAAAAATGAAAGCAGAACTTCAACCTACATGACTTTCGTGCTCTGAGAAGTGTGTGCGTAAGTGTGCGTCTGTGTGTGTGTGCGTGCATGTGTGTGTCTGTATGTGTGTGTGTGTGTGTGTGTGTGTGTGTGTGTGTGTGCGGAGGAAAGGGAGGCGTTCATCTCAATTTAACAAACGTAGCGGCAGTAAATACCGCAGAACGTTCTGCAGCAGTAACATCAGCATAATTAAAAACAATAATAACATTAATTTTTAAAAAACCGCCGGGTTACAAAATAAAAATAAAAGTAACCGTAAAATTAACAGTACTAGCAACTACGACATCATCACCAGCATCAGCAGCAGCCACAGCAACACCACCACCACTACCACCACCACTTTTAGTTTTAGTAAGGGTTTTTAGTTAGTTTGAGTACAAGTTTTACGGCGCTCACAACTGCATAAGATCATATGAGCGCCAGAAGATTAGAGCTGTTACAAGAGAGTAACAAACATAAAAAAGAAGAAGGGGAGATAAGGACGATAGATGTTTGACAGGAAAGAAAAAGCAAACCACACCAGAGCACCCGCCAACCACCCACAGTAAGGGTTTTACAGCACTGCAACACAATAAGCTCATATAAGCGCCAAAGATTAGAAGTGTTACAAAAGAGTAACAAACATAAAAAAGAAGTGGAGAGTTAAGCACGAAAGATGTTTGATAGGAAAGAAGGAGCAAACCACACCAGAGCACCCGCTAATCACCCACCCACCACCAGCACCAGCACCACCAACAACAATGACAGCTACAACAACAGCAGCAATCATAACAGCAACAATTACAACAAAAGCAGTAACAACAATAACAACAGTGACAACAAGAGAAGAAACATGATCAGCAGCAGCTTCAACAACATTAATATTCAAGAATGTACTCACTTGCAGGTGCTACGGCGTTCTGCCCAAGGTCGCTACTCACTGAGGCGCTGCTCCGGGGTATACGACCTGTTGACAAAAAAAATGGGGACTGTCGGAATAGCTAGCTAGCTAGATTGATGGTTGGATGGAAGGATGGATGGATGGATGGATGGAAGGATGGAAGGATGGGTGGATATAAGATAGATAGATAGATAGATAGATAGATAGATAGATAGATAGATAGATAGACAAAATATTTATGGTCCCTCTAGACACAATTTCTAGAATTTCAGAAAGCGGGTTTTCTCCTATCCTCTGATGGAGGGTCAACCCTTTCACCCCTTCCGCGTTAGATACATCTCAGCAGAAAAGCGGAGGCATTCAATGACATAAATGCAAACGTATGAATCAACAGCAACATCAACAACAACACCAATACTGCCACCACAATCTTTAGTTTTAGTAAGAGTTTTACGGCACTTGCAACACAATAAGGTCATATAAGTGCCGAAGAATAGAGGTGTTACCAAGAGACTAACATACACAAAACAGAAGGAGGAGAGATAAGGATGTCAGATGTTTGATAGGAAAGAAGGAGCAAACCACGCCAGAGCACCCGCCAACCACCCACAACAACAACCACCACCACCACCACCACCACCACTGCTACTACTACTACTACTACTACTACTACTACTACTACTACTACTACTACTACTACTACTACTACAGTGACGTCGGTAGCCCAGGGGTTAGGCTACCGGACCCATATATCGTGAGATAGCGAGTTCGAGGGTTCGAACCTCATCTTGGTCCGACGCTGTGTAAAGCAAACAATCTAGCTATGGTCTATCAGACGCCGGGGTCCAATGGGTTTAGCATAAAGGGAACAAGGGTAACAGAAAGAGGTAACATTTTTAGAAACATCCCATAAGAGCTTCAGGGCATTAATGTTCTGATGTATAATTTTACCTTTAAAGAGTTAGCAACTCCTTCTTGTGCCAATCAATCTTTCCCGTAGTAGAACAGTAGCAGTAGCAGTAGCAACAGCAGCAGAAGCAGCAGCAGCAGCAGCAGCAGCAGCAGCAGTAGCAGTAGTAGTAGTAGTAGTAGTAGTAGTAGTAGTAGTAGTAGTAGTAGTAGTAGTAGTAGGAGTAGTAGTAGGAGTAGGAGTAGTAGTAGTAGTAGTAGTAGTAGTATTAGTAGTAGTAGTCTGTCACTATCACACCAATCATAACTTCCAACTCCTCTTACAACAACAAAAATATCAACATCATCAACATCGTATTCATCAGCAGCAACAACAACAACAACAGCAACAGAAGTTACTACAAAAACAACAACAACAACTACTATTACTACATGTACTACTACTTCTCGTAAAACAACAACAACAACAACAGCAACAACAACAACAGCAACAACAACAACAACAACAACAGCAACAACAACAACAACAACAACAGCTACATCAACAGCAACAGCAACAGCAACAACAACAACAACAACTACTACTACTATTACTACATGTACTACTTCTTCTTGTACAACAAAAACAACAACAATAACAACAACAACAGCAACAACAACAACAACAACTACTACTACTACTACTACTAATACTACTACTGCTACTATAAATTACTACTACTACTACTACCACCGCCACTACCACTACCACAACCGCAGCCACTACCTTTACCACTACCACAGTATCAACAAGGGTAACAAAAAAAAAAGCCTGAACATATCTACATTGCTACACAACAAATAAAAAACCACAATAATACCCACTTGTTTTCAATCGCTTCGTGAACACATGGAAGAAATCCGGATCTGAGGAATCGAGGAAATATAACTCTCCGAGAGACTCGGGGATCTCGCAGTCCTCCAGCAGCACTCCCATGATCCTCTGGTTATGCAGGCTCATCTGGGTGAGCTGCTTCAGCGTTTTCTCGAAAGAAAACCATGTATCTTGCACGTATTTTGAGCTAAGCACGAGCACCACTCGCTCACTCAACATGGCGGCGCACAAGATTCGTTGTTGTAACGTCCCTGGGTCGGCCTCGTCTTGGAGTGACGCGTATGCGCACGTGTAGTTAAAGGGTGGAGCTTCGAGATGCGCGACCATATGCTCCACCCACTCTCGGTCTTCGGGACAGTGAGAGAAGAACACGTGATAGCGATATAAATCTTGGATTGGTGGAGCCGAAACAGTGTCTTGGTGGGGTAGCAGGGGTTGAGAATCACTGTGATGATTGGCTAAAAGCTGAGACGTTTCCATTGGGATAGTACCATTTACCATGGCGATATCGAAGTCCGGATGATCCTGGTTCATCATCAGACTGTTGTGATAGGCAGCAGACGAGCCGGGCTCAGCGTGGAACATGATGGGGGATGAACCGTCTTTGAACCCGTACTGATTATTGTTGTTGATGTGGTTGGAGTGTTGGTGGTAATGAGAGTCACTGAAGTCGCTGAGATTATAACTGTTTTCTTCTAAACCCGACTCAAAGGTTGGACTATCACACGTAAATGGAATAAACGACTGCTGGGAGTTGGAGATGCAAATTGTCACTTTCGGGTGCTCTCCCGTTTGGTTCTGGGTTTGTATTGTGGAGATATTGTTGTCTTTTTGTGGATCGTCTAACATTAGTTCACTGTTAATATTCGTTGGCGACGGCGAGGAAACAACAAGGGCCGGCGTTCTACCGGCCTCAGGCTGGAGAGTCTCAATATAAGGAATAGACGAATGACTCGTCTTGAGAGGATAAACCCCTGTGGATGGTGAGTACGGAGCATTTCCCGTGGGTGGGTAGCCAGGGGCGTAGAAGGAATGCGAAGCCGAGAAGGCAGTCGTGTGCTCTGCTTGTTGCGGCTGGAACAATGAAGGTGCAGCAGCACCACAAATGGCGCTGTCCGAGGCTGAAGTATGCGGAGGGGGCGGGGCATGGTGGTTTGGTCCCTCCCCACCACTCGTCTTGTCTTGGGGTTGGGAGAAAAGGAACGGACCCCCAGCTGGCGGGAGCTCCGGCTCCCCACAAATACACGACGGGCGTTTGGTGGTCAACACCTGTGGGTTAACGTCTGGAGGCAGTTCGATGTTCTTGTTTGCTGCCGCGTCGGCCGTCTCGTCAAAGGTTAATCTAAACCGCATTGCGCTTGCAGCATTTGATAAACCCAGGTTCTTCATTTTCATCTTAGTTCCTGGAGATGCGTAGCCCTGCTGAGGTTGCTGTTGAGGTTGTTGTTCATGCTGTTGATGTTGATGCTGCTGCTGCTGCTGTTGCTGATACTGATGTTGTGGCGATTGCTGTGGTAGACAAGGCTGGCGCTCGGGCACGTTGCTTCCCCGTCGGCACTCTAAAGAATCGTTGCCGACTGGTGCAACGTCCTTGCCCAGAGAAGCTGAACTGTCTCTCCTTGTTTCTAGTTCCGCCCCGTCCACCAGGACGACAGGGGGGGCGGCCATGGGCAGGACTGTGGGCGGGGTCGGGTGCACGGCGTGTCGGGAGAAGGAACAGGTGCTGAGGCGGCGTGGTCCGGTGCTGTCCACGTTGTTGGGTTCCCAGGAGTCAGGTGCGTGATGGTTGTCTTCAGGCTGGCTCATGTGAGAGGATCGTATATCTGCGTGGAGGGAGAATAAACAGAATCATGGCTTGAGCAAGATCAGAGCTTTAGCTCTAATAGAGGCTTTACGGCGCTCGCAACTGCATTAGGTCATACGAATGCCAGCAGATTAGAGATGTTACAAGAGAGTAACAAACATAAAAAAGAAGAATAAGTACAGATAAGTTTTTAGTTTTGGTAACAGTTTTACGGCACTTGCAACACAATAATGTCATAAAAGTGCCAAAGATTAGAGGTGTTACAAGATAGTAACAAACACAAGATAGAAGGAGGGGAGAAAAGGACGACAGATCTTTGATAGGAAAGAAGGAGCAAACCACACGAGAGCACCCACCATCCACCCACCAAGATCAGACAGTATGGATTTCATGTCCACTCTGTGTGTGGGAAGACAAAACTTGAGAAGGGGGCATAGGTTGTGTGTGTGTGTGTGTGTGTGTGTGTGTG